AGTGTCGCGCTCCGAAGGAGAGAAGGTCACGAAGACGGAGGTGCCGTAGCAGACTCTGTTGGCGTGCGTCTGGTGGCGCATGGTTTGTCGCACTTCGTGCGTGCCAGGAATGCGGCGAGTCCTGGCCTCGCAGTTGTCCAGGACTTTCCTGGCCGCGACGGACAAGTTGGGTGCGTAGCGCACCTTAGAGAGGTCGCCCTTGATGGCCTTCATCTCGCCCGTGACATCTTTGTACTTGCCGCGGCAAAGGCATTGCTGGATCTCGCACACGCCCTTCAGGATCTCCGGGTTGGTGAGGGCCCTGCGCCCGCCTTGCTCGTCCGGCACGGTGTACATGAAGGTGTTCTTCTGCAAGTTGATCAGCGTCCGAAAGATGTAGTTCCAAACCGTGAAGCCGAAGGTCCAATCGCGGCGGAACTGAGTCTCCGCGCGGCGCAGCATGGCAGCCGCCCAGTCGTAGATGAAGACTTCAGGTGCTGTCTTATCGCGTGCCCGTCGCCGGGTCGCTGCTCCAGCGTTCTCCTGCAGACGGGGATGGGTGTGCTCATTGATTTCGCATATAATATTAAAAGCACGTTATTCATTAGTTACATCATCCAACATTCCTTCGGTCCTGTGCGGTCGCAGTGTTGGAGACGTCCGGACAAGCGGTGGCATGCTTGAAGCAGAAGCAGAAGGCGGTGGCGAAGTACATCGGCTGGAACTGGTCGATGAACTTGTTGCCCGTGCGCACCTCGAAGGTTTGCGATGCCGCCGCCCCTCCTGACGGGCCGGCTCCTCGACCTTCCTGGCGATCGACAGAGTCCGATGGTTTGACTTGGGCCGCCAGCTCGTTGAGGGCCTGCACCCCCACCGCGTTTTGGTCCTGCTGGTCGATGCTGCAGCCTTCGGGCACCACAGCTCGTGCTCGCTGGGCGGCGAAGATGGCCCCCGCCTCATCCAGCTCATGGAACGCGTCCAAGGGCGTGGCTGCTTTCTGCGGTTGCAGGCGATCTTCGGACTGCTCGTCTATCTCGCCGATGACCGTCAGTACTTCCGGTGGAACATCGTGTTCGGGAAGGGCTGCTGCCGCTCGTCGCACTGACGCTTCTTCCATGCTTTGGTAGGCCGGATGGCCCAGCTGCTTCATGTCCAGGATGAGGCGCACCACGACCTCCCTGCGCACGACCGCTTGGTGCATCAAGCTCTTGATTTCTGCCTGCGAAGTCTTGCCTGTCTTATTGGTTTTCAACAGCACACGCACCACCTCTCCCAGCGCCGGTCCACTGCGTGGAAGTTGCGTCGGAGCTTCTTGGTTTGCTGATTCGGAGTCCAGTAGTCCGTGATGCGCCTGCAGCTTGCGCAGCAAATCTTCCCAAGCCAGCGGGAAGGTCAGCGCGTTGCCCCGAGCCCCAAGTCGGTGCCTGGCCATGTGGACCTTCTCGTCGAGCGGGTGGACCTTATCCTCCAGCGAGGAGCTATCGCTCCGATAGCGGGCCTCCATGGACATGCAAATCAGTGTGGTGACGCACGGGCTTGCACAGATCATCTCCATCACCGTGACGTTCTCCGCATAGAGCCGCTCCGGGGCATACCCTGTCCACATGTCGTTGCAGAGGCTCAGGGGCGGCATCTTGTCTGCTTTCAGTTGCTGGTGACACTCGCTGCACAGGGGCACTTCGCACTCTTCGCAGAGGCGACCCTCTGCCACGTGCTGGGGATGGGCAGCGCAGCGGTGGTCTTCCGGACAGCACAGCAAGAAGGGCCCTTCTTCGCCGCCGTCGTGCTTCGGGAGCCGCAGGCGCCAGCGCGCGAAGTCTTCGAAGGTGGTCAGCTTCAGGTCTCCTTCGAGGCGGTCGTACTTCTCCAGGAAAGAGTCCAGGCCCAGGACGTCGGCGATCTCAGACAGCGGCCGACCCAGAAAGGTGGCCGACGCTGTATTCGCTGCTCTCTGCAGCGGCCGGTGCCACTTGATTCTGCCCGCGTCCTCCGTCTCAGCGACTCGGGTGTGGATGCAGGCGCAGCTGAAGCAAATGAGCGCTTCGGCCCTGTCGCCGGAGGTTGCTTTGGCGAACGACCGCAAGGCCGTGCGGTCCAAGGAAGATCCTGCCAGGGGAGCTTGCGAGCGGCACCTGATCGCCAAGGCCTCGTTGTAAATGCTCAGGAGCGCGTCCGGCGCATTCGGATCGAGCAAGAGCTGCAGCAGCGGTTCCAACTGTGACAGGTGATCTTGGTGCAGGTGCTGCAACAGCTCGGCTTCGCCTCCGTGCTCGCTGCACCACGTGCAGTCGTTGAAGGCGCAGAAGATGCGTGGCCACGCCTCGCCCGCGTCTAAGGATGCCGAAGATTCTTGGGGAGGCAGCGTCGGGCTGTCCCGGAGCTGCTGCGCCAGCTCGTGCAGGAGATCCTCCAGTTTTCGATGCGGGTGCGATGAGTGCTCCGCAACTTTGTAGAGGGACAGCTCTGCTAGCACGCCTTGATTTGTCATCGCGTTGGGCACCTCGCCGCCCAAGGCCGAGGAGTGTGAGCCGCCGGACTCCCCCGTTTGGCGCCCTTGGGCAGCTTGCGCTCTTGGTCTCTCCTGATCCACGCGGTCCGTGCCCGAGTCAGGTAGCAGCAAGTCGTAGTGATCTGTGCCGTTGTACAAGAGATGCAGGACGGGGTGTTTGTCGGGGTCAGCCATGTTGTCCACCACTTGCCAGTGGGTTCGCTCGTCGCAGTGGAAATTGCCTCGCTCATCGCGCCAATGCACGTGCGCTCGGCGCTCTCGCAGCAGCGACCATGCCAGCACGGAGGCATCTCCTCCCCAGCAATGCTCCGGATCGCCTCGGAGCATGGCTGCTTCGTCCAGCCAGGCATCTTCGTGCTCTTCCTGTTGCGCGGCTTGCTCCTCCAGGAAATCGGCCACCTCGGTCCTGAGGACTGAGGCGTCCTCGCCGCTGTCGTGGGATAGAGCGTGGAACAAACAATTGCCGTCCGGGGGCATCTTCACCAGGCGGAAATTTCCCGGGCACTCTCCGAAGCTCGTCTTCTGCTCCGAGGAGCTGGAGGCGCCGGCCGTGTTGCCGCAGAGAGCCTCGGTGTGGACAGTCACAGCGCAAAGACAAGACAAGGGCACAAACCAGAATGAATAGAAGGCTCCGACGTGCTGCAGCCTGTTCCGATGCTTGCGACCCATGCTCCACAGCGCGGACGGTGTGCCGCAGAGGGCCTTGTGGAGCTCGAAAAGAGAGTTGAGTCGGCAGAGGTAAAAAGGTATACGAACACTATACAGGCGGTCGGAGCGTTGGCCACTGCCACTTGAAACTGTAGAGTTGGCATCTGAGCCGGTGGCGCGCTGGAGCCTGAGCCTTTGTCCTCTGCCCATCGTCGACGTGGAGCAGGGCAAGCACAAGTCACTGGGACCTCCAGATGAAATGTCGCAAGACGTATCCAGGAGGGGAGCACGATTGCACTTACCGAGTCTGCTTCCACGTCTATATTCTAAATCTAGGAAACTGAGCCAGGCGCGGCAATGCGCTGAGTCCTGGCAAATGCATATACTTGTGTACTGAGCGCTGCATTGCCAACGCGTTGTGAGTGGTCTGAGTCTTCAGCATCACCCGCCTGGTGCTGAGTACCCTGAGTACCTGCTGCGACACCAATCAGCGCAGTGCTGGAAGCACAAACAAAATCCGCGTGAGGTGTGGCATGATCTTCAGGCGCTGGCAGAGCAGCAGGCGTGTGACGAGGCACGCATCCTGGCCACGCATGTGTCATTCGAGCGTGATTGGCGCGGGCAGAGCTTGGGCCCAATACGGAGCGAGCCTTGTCGGAGAGCATGCTGCTCCCGTGTCGAAGTTCGGTTCCTGTTACTCGAGACCGTGTCCTGGCAGTGGGTGTGTAGCTGGGTGGCCTGTAAGGTTAAGCTTGTGAATCGCCTTGCACAGGGACCCTCACAGACCTCGGGCCCGTCGGCCGATGGGAAGCAGCTGTTGCCGCCGGCACGCCGCACGTCGCCCACGATGCTCGTTCCTCCTATATATGGTTCACCGTAGCTTCCCAAAGTATGCATTGGGCACTGGCGCTTGCACCTCTGCTTGTTGGAAAGCAGCGTTCAGGACTTCATCCTCCTCGCTGATCCCGCCGAGCTGCGGATGCTTCCGTGGTGTTGGCACCTTGACTTATAATCAGCATCACTTGTGCATCGGCACACTCTCAGAAGCGACAAGCAGAAGACCTGGCGAGAGCACCTTCTTTCGCCGACTTGCGACTGGTTTTGCACGCACGACTGGCTTTCTCCCAGACGAGTGTGGCTGCCTCTTCCAGTCCTCGCGATGCAAGCTCTAACTGTTGATGTGTTTGCGGGGCCTGTTGCTCGTGCCTCGTCGATGACGATCGCGCCTGCCTCGGGAGCCAGCCGTGCTGTAGCACGGCTGTGCAAGTGGTGCCAAATTCGTGCTCTGTTGCAAATTGCAAGCAGACCTACTGAGGCGCAGACCGGGGTCATCAAAGTCAACCGACACCTTGTTGCAAGGTACTCGCGTTTGAATGCCTCCCAGTCCCACGCGTAGACCTGACAGGGCATGCCAGGAAGAATGTCAGGAGTACGCTGCTGAAGTGCTTGCCTATAATGAAATAGATGCCTCCTCCCTGTCGTCGTCGTCGGTCATATCAGCCCAGCGACGCGTGGACGGCATGCTGCCTGAACACACGCGTTCATCGAGCACCATGCAAGTAGAAGAGGGAGCTACATAGTGACAGACGTGCTAGTGCGCATAAGATCCTGGCTCCGCACGAGAAATAATATCGAATTGAGGTTTCTGAAAGCTTGAAGCTTCAAAAGGCTGCGGCGGGTTGTTTTCTTGAAGCGATGAGTGTTTCCAGCAGAGCGTGGCATGACCCCCCAATGAAGCAGCAGCCACAAGCTATTGTGGGCTTCGGTTTCTGCAGCTGCGGTGTAGTGTTACTGTCCTTGTGGACATGATGGCATTTGCTGTGGTCAAACGCAGCCTCTAGACTCTATAGACCTCTTACATCTCTTTGCTGCAAATCTCGCCCTGCCCCGCGCCGTTCTTCTCTTGCTCGTCGAAGTCTGTGTCCGTGTCGATGTCTGTAGTGGCAGCCGCCGTGGGTCGGCAGTCGAGGCAGTGTGGGCGACGAGGGTTGGCCACCCGCCTGCGTTTGGCCGTTAGCAGGAACTCGCACAGGCTGCGTTGGCCACGCGGGCGCGCCTTGCCGCAAGCGCTGTTCTGGCCCTTAGCGCTGCGAGCTGCAGAGACGGCCGCGTCCCAGCCCTTGCACACGGCACCCATGGAGCGGCACGCGGGCGGCAGGATGGTGCCGCGCACACGCAGCCTCGCGTAGGAGCAGGGCAGTGGCAGTGGCGCGTCCACGTCCACATCAGAATCGTCATTCTCGGGCAGCAAGGCCGGGGGTAGAAAACTGATGTCGAGCACGAACTGCTGTGGGCGCCAGAGATCCACCGGTTGCCGCCTGCTGCTGCCGCAGGTCCCTTGCCGCCAATCGTACGTCATGGCTCCGAGTCTCATGTCGAAGTCGGGAAAGCTGTGTGGAGGCACCGCCAAATGTACCATGGCCGCAGCATCCAGGAAGCAGCACGCAAAGGAGAAGGGTTCTGAGCGTGCCACAGCATGCGCGATCTTCAAAGAATCCTTTACGACCCTGTCCTTCTCTGTGATGAATTCTGCCCCGCGCCAGTGCCTGCGCTGCAGCAGCAGCTCTCCTGCGAGGTGCTCAGCGGTTCGCTCCACGTCCGAGCGGAGTGGTGCTTGGTGCCGGTCGGCCGGACCCGTCTTGATCAAAGGCTGGTCGTGGAGGTACTCGAGGATCTCCGCGGCTGCAGTTGCAGTCAGCGACGTCGGTGCCATCCTCTTCCCGAGTTGTAGACACACGCTCTTCGTGGGGATGCAGAAGGCTGGCGTCGCAGGCGCGCGCAGCTTGTCTCGAGCCGAGCCCTGCAAAAAAGAAAAGGAATGTCGCAAGACCAGGCACGGCCAGGCAACGCCCACGCAGTGGCTACCTAGCCCTCAGCCCTTGCAGCGTCCTCTTTTTAGGATTAAACTATCAGATAAGGAAACTTGCTGTCCAGGAAATCCGTCTTTGTCCCCAGGATAAGCAAACTCGCCCTTCGGGAAGGCTTTCGTTTCCTCGTTCTTTGTCCCCAGGATAAACAAACTCGCTCTACAGGAAGTCTTCCTTCTTTGTCCCCAGGATACGCAGATTAGCCTTGCAGGAACTTCTCCATCTTTGTCCCCAGCATACGCAAACTTGCTCTCCAGGATAAGCGAACTGGCTATGCAGGAAGTCCTCCTTCTTTGTTTCCAGGATAAGCAAATTGGCTCCCTCCTTCTTTGTCCCCAGGATAAGCAAACTGGCTCTACATGAAGTCTTCCTTCTTTGTCCCCAGGATAAGCAAACTGGCTCTGCAAGTAGTCTTCCTTCTCTGTCCCCAAGAAAGCGACCTGGCTCTGCAAGAAGTCTGCAAGAAGTCCTCCTTCTTCGTCCCCGACACAAGCAAATTTGCTCTGTAGGACCCTAGGAAGTCCTCCTTCTTTGTTCCCAGGATAAGCACATCGGTCCTGCAGGAACACATTTGCCCTCCAGGAAATTTTCTTTCTTTGTTAGCCAGGATAAGCGAACTGGCTCTGCAGGAAGTCCCCTATCTTTGTCCCCAGGATAAGCAAATTGGCTCTCCAGGAAGTTCTCTCTTCGTGCCCAGGATACGAGTTTGCCCTCCAAGAAGCCCTTCTTCTCGGTCCCTAGGATCCGTTCGCGAAGCAAACTGGAAGGTTTCCGTCTTTGTCCCCAGGCTAAGCCCCTCAAGAGGTCTTCTCTTTGTCCCCAAAATAAGCAAACAGGCAACGGAGGTTTGTTTTAGTCCCCAGCCAGCACAGGTTCGGCAAGGTCGGCCATGCTACAGTGCGACACTTCGTGGGATATTCCCTTGACGTCTGCCATGTCACACGTCGTAGCGCCGCACCATTCCATCCGGCTGCAAAGATGCGAGCGTCGGGTCTTGCGAAAATTTGATCTTCATGGCCGGAAATTCCTTAGATGCCGGCGTTTCTGGCAATATGCGTCTCCACCGGAGTCGGAAGAAGTCCGCAGACTGCACCACGTTTACGAACTCTCTGATCTCTGTCCGATACCAGGTTCGGAGCGGCCGGATTTGCGGGTCGTGCCAGTTGGGCCAGACATTGTGAAAGTTGTGCGCTGCAGCTTGCTGGAGCTGAGTCGCGACACCTTTGCTCGTCTGTAGCAGTGCATGTGCTGTGCACAAGCTCCACCTCGTTGCTGAAAGATGAAGGAATGTGATTCGGCCATGCTGGACGGCGATTTCTGTTTGCTTTACTGCTTCGACGAATCCTGCTGCCAGCAAGTCTTGGCACAGCACCTGGAGTGACCGCAGCTCTTCTTCGTCGTCTCCAGCATCATGCCTTGCTCTGATCAGATGGCAAACGCCTGCAAAGGTCAAGATGTGCGCCCAAACCGCTGCGGGGAGTTGGCGGTTCTGTGCTGGTGCCATGGCTGGATGGAACTATGCGGCAGGCTAGCTCCACCGAAGTAGTCTGTGTGTCTTGAGCCTGAAACTTGAGAAGGTTGGCCTGAACCTTGTTTATCTACGTCTTGCCGCAGTGCCACGTTGCTGTAGCTGCTAGCGTCGTCGAGAGGCTCCCCAGCACGGCCGTCTACTTTCATGCAGCAGAGAGCCACCCCGGCTCTCATGATTCATTTCCACACACTTGGCAGGCTGCACCGGTGCTTTTTAAGCCATGGCTTGGGCGAACCTACGTTGCATGTGCCATCTCTTGCAGCAGGCACGTAACTGTGAGACCTCCGTCCATCTCTCAGCCTTCACGCTTCGCGGTCATCTGCTGGACGCCCGCATCTGTGCTAGCTCGCTGCACTTGGACAACAGGGCTTCGGCTTGCCGGTCCATCTTTGGAACGATGTCCACCCACGGCTTGCAACCCCTGTCCGGGTGTGTGCACACCACAAACATGGCCGCCACCTGCTGGTCGTAGTGTTCTTCAAGAATCAACCGGTAGATGTTCAGCTGCAGCCTGTACTTCCACACTGCACAATCCGGAACGTCGTCGACAGGGGGCTGCATGTATTTGCCGAAGTGGCGATCTTTGTCTTCGATGCTGCCAGAGCGCTTCCAGTCCACCAGCACCTTCTTCCCATCTGGTTTTTCTCCCACGAAGTCTATCGTTCCTGCAACATGTGCAGCGCTTGCGTAGACTGCCCACTCTGTGCGGTAGGCCTTCAGAGGAAGCTGTGTTCGCAGAAACGCCAAGAGCAGCGACACTTCAGGTGTCACTGGAGACGAGCCACCATTGAGCAAGCATTCAAACTGCGCATGCATCCAGGTGCCTTCTCGAGCGCAGCGCAGACGGGACATTTCCCATTTCTCCTTAATCTGTTCGGGCGAGAGGGCTAGCTCGTCGCAAGTTGCAGCATGCTCCGGGTGGCATCCTTTCAGGCGCCGTATAGCCGCACAGGTGGTTCGCTCGTCACGTTCACTGTCCTGCATCAGCAGAAGGACATCCGCTGCTTCAGGAACAGTGTGCTGCATTCGCCGCAGGCTCCGCAGCGATTCAGCGCAAGGCTGGCGACGGAGGTAGCCCGGTCGCGGCCAATCTGGTCCCTGCACCATGCCGACGATGATGGCGTCCGCGTCGAACTCCTCAGCAAATTGCTTGATGACCTGGGTCACGGAACTCCGGACACGCTCTCCCTTCCAGAAGTAGGCATGTTCCGCAGTAGTCATGGCGAGGTGTCTGTCGCGCGGGTGTGGATGCAGTCGCCACAGATGATCCACGACGCAGTCGTCTGGCGGTCGCTCGGGCAAAACGACAGGTCGGGATGGAAACTTGTCCCTGCTCGCTGTCTCGTTCCTGAGTGGCTCGGGCAGCACGCAAGCCAGTCCTGCTCTCACCAGCGTAGTCCTGGAGAAATCGGCACAACAATTCTTTTCGGCAGGCTCTGCCTCGGCATTGGCGTACCCCTCTCTGGAACGTTTCCTGCTTTGGGGCTCCGTCTCCATATCTTGCAGAACCGTGTCATCGTCGCCTCTCATGGCGTACCGGCAGATGCTGGAAGCACCTGACACCCTGCTACACCGCGACTTCCTTTTGAGCCGGAGCTTACCGCGGCTGCACTGCCGTGGTGCCATGTTAGAGTGTTCCACAAGAACGGCTGTGCACCTGCTGCGGCTGCATGGCTGCGGCGATCTGCAAAGCTTTTATACACAAGTCATAATTGCGGGTGCCTGCCTCGGCAATGCCGCGACGGTTCCGACACACCATTGAATTAGCGACGGCGCTTGCCTTCGTTGCTCGCTTTGAGGCGGTCGTTGGCTAACAGCACGCCCTTCAGCCCTCTGAAATTGAATGCGATGCAAAGGACAGGCTCCATGCGCAGCAGCACGCCTTGCCCTGAACGGATTTCGAAGGAAGGCCTGTACAAAAAAGTTGCATTGCTCATTGCCAAGAAGTCACTGAGCCGGCAGCCGTCAGCACGGGCGTTGTTTCGCCAAGCATTCAGAACAAGGATCGCTTCCGCTGGTGTGTGAATATCCAACCCGCAGACTTCCAACCAATCTGTCAGGGCGTTTGCTGCGACAATGTCATCCATCGTTGACGCCACCTCATTCACGTACAAGCGGAGTTCTTCTCCGAAGATGTCCTGGCCAGGGAGAGTGGGAAACGCCTGGCAAGGCACCGGTTCGCTGAACCCGGGCAGAAGCAGCTGTCTTGTCAGCAGAGGGTGTAGACAACGTCGTGCGCATTGAACCCTGGCGTCGACTTCTTCGCGAAGAAGTCTGTCGTTGGCGCGACTGCACGTGCATCGAAGCTGCTGCACGGACGCGAAGCCCGCCAGCTCCAATGTGATTTGCCGCAGCAATGTGTCGGGCAGCGCCGCGGGCCAGACCGACATCGGCCAAAGGGGATTTCGGATTGCGTGCTTAACCTAGTGCTCCATTCAACCGCGTGACACAAACGAAAATCATGAGTCGGAGTTGGCCCATGTCGCCAGATAAAGCAAGAAGCTTGTCGTTAAGCTTGGGTAGACTTGTATGCCGTTCTGGAACGCGAATTGCATATACATTTCAATCGCTATATCATTGCGGATCGGCTTGAGCAGAAACTCCGGAGTCCATGCAGTCAGCGGGCCATGCAACGTGTACAGTCGTGGCTTCAAACTGCCCAGCATTCCTTCTGGCAGGGTTCGGTTTTGCGCTGGGCGGCTCCTGGCGGCTGTGCCTATGCTCCCGCTATACAGGGCTGCTCATGACGGTGCATTGGAACGACTGGCCGCTTTCACTTGTCCGTCTCTTGCAGGAAGACAGAATCCTGGGCAATCATCCAAGCGGCCATGCTGTTGTCTGCGTCGCCAGTGGCATTGATGAAGTACACTGGCCGCCTCAGCAAGACGTTCTGCAGGACATGCTGTATCTGCTCTTTGTGCTCGTCGCTGTCGGTGAACTCCATGTAGCGCATATAGTCGCTGTCCCCACCCTGTTTTATGTACTTCCCAGGGATGCCGCTCGCTTCGAAAAGCTCCCGGAAGAGGTAGATGCCGCCGAACAATGACAAGATGTAAAGCACGTTTTCGGCCTGGCTGTCGCCACGGGCTTCTTTCATTTCAAGCTGCCCGAGAATGTGACGTCGCCCAGAAGGCGGGACTGCACCGAAAGGCGGCAGCATCTCTGCAGCAGGAAAGAGCGTCCACGGCTCGGGCGGAATGAGCAAATCGCACTGCGGCGGGGCTGCTACGCATAAGCTCGGCATGGCGGCCGCGTGGCCTCTGTTTACCTTGTGCTTGAGGATAAGGTGCACAAGATCCAAAGCCGCGTTGGGGCTGCTTCCAGCACAGTACAGCACTACCTGCCAGTCCTGGAAGCCCACGCCGTCAGGGTCTTCGTTCTCCTTCGCAGGAGCCCCGCTCAAGAGCTTGACCTTCCAAGCGGTTTCCAAGCCACGCAGGTCCCGAAGTTCCGGGTTGGGGTGGTCTTGTAGAGCTTCTCTGGCCATGGCAACAACCTTGTATCCAAAATGGTTGTTGCCGCCGTGGCTGACCTGTACTTGCCACAGCGGCATGCTCTTGTCCACCTCCTTGAACTCGCCGAACGCACTGCCCCAGGGCCTTGCGCAAGCAAGCAGCTGGCGACCGTCGCCGGTGCTCCCAGAATGCAAGC